GAGAGGGAGAGAGAGAGAAGCATGACATCAATGATGCTTAGTGTATGCAATGAGGAATGAGTTTTATGCCTCAAACACGAATAGACCCGAAAAGGAAAAAGCAAAGCATAAGCCTAGTTTGTTAGATAAGGGGCTAAGGGGGTTATTGCTGCTGCTATTGCTACTGCTACTGCTATTACTACTAATATTGCCATATTGGAATATTAAAAACGGCCTAGATTATAAGTTGATTCACTCCTTCTTTACATGGGCTACTATTTCATTCCCTTTTTATTTCTAATATTCATCCAAAAAATACAAAACATCAAAGGTATCACTGATCAATGGGCTAATTATCATAATCAGGATGAATTGGAAACTATCCTAATAACTATTCATAAACGATGTCCCAATTATACCACTGTTTATTCAATCGGTAAAAGTGTCCAAGGACGTGATCTACTTGTTATCCAATTTTCAGCAACACCTGGACAACATCAAATGTGTACGTTATTTTTACCGTATTCTTGAAGCAAAATTTTCCTTCATTAGAAAATAATTACCTTTATTTTATAGAATATTTTATAAAAAGAAAAAAAAAACATTTATTTTTTTCTCCAAAATTTCTCCTTCTCATTTTTCATCCGATATTCATTCCATTTCCTTCTATCGTATGATTTTCCTTCAGGATATTCTGAATTATTCTTTCTATTCAAAATTTTTTTTCTCATGTTTCTTTTCTAATCAAATATTCCTCAATGTTGGATTTTTGTATTCCTGAAAAATACAAATCTATTGAATTGATTAATGCTTTCAGTAAAACCGGAAATGAAATATGTTGGAAATATGCATGGGAATGAACCTGTAGGAAGAGAACTTCTATTACGGCTTGCATCATACTTTTGTGATAAACTTTTGGCAAAAAATAAAGAAATCATGGAACTTATCAATTCGACATCAATTCATCTATTACCATCAATGAATCCGGATGGATTTGAACGTGCACTTACCACAGTAATATTCTTTATCCAGATCGCTTTTTTCTTCCGGATGCATACACTTCAGTGAATTTCGTCAATAGGAATAACCTGAAATTAAAACTTGAATAGGATATGCTAATAGTAGTTTTAAAGCGTAGATTTCTAATTGATAGTTTAGTAGAAAACAATAATGTGATCGTAAGGGATTAAGTTTTTTTTTCTTTTTTTTTTGCTTAATTTCTCTTAGAAGAAGCAAAAATGAAATTTTCATGGCCCAAAATTAAATAACTTTTTCCTTTCCAAATCATATGAAGTAAACATTCCTGAAGTTCTAAAAGGAAGATGAAAATAGTAAAAGATAAATTTTGGTAAAGTATATTTCAGGGAATCGATGCTCGGAATTGGTTTACTGGTAGATCCAATGCAAATGGTATTGATCTAAATCGAGATTTTCCAGATCTTGATGGTTTCTACTACTATTTGGAACAGCATAATATACCTCGTTTTGATCATCTTCTGGAATTGTTCGGTGATGAAGGAAAAGAAGTATACTTTTCTTTCTTATATTTAGATTTTATTAAAGCATTTTATTGAAATAATCACAAAATTAATTTTAATTGTGAATTTTTAATTCTAACTTAATTTTTTCAAAATTTCAAGTATCAACCAGAAGTACGAGCTATTGGCCAATGGATTCTTTCCTTACCATTTGTTTTATCAGCTAATATGCATGAAGGCGATTTAGTGGCTAATTATCCGTTTGATTCCGCTCGAATTCCAAACAACAACGAATATTCTATAAGTCCTGATGATCAAACATT